AGATTTACTTTGCTCTGCTTTAAGCTTTAGCTATAGTCGCTTTCCTTCCATCTCCGCCGGAAAACTTTTCCTCAAAAGTAGAACAGTGTCTTGTAAAATGTCTCTCAATGTTCAACTGTTTTATGAGGCTGCAGTCGTTTCTTATTCTCCAGCTTCTTGTTCGAATTTTGGAATTGGAACGGGAAAATTCAAAAGAGAAGCTGACTTCATCTTCGCAACTTTTTAGTGTTTGACAGTCTCTTGTTGCAGATTTAACGTACCAGAAAACCAACTGTGGTGCTTATTAATGCGAATAAGTCCAGTCATCTCCAAATGTTTATCTTAAATCTCTCTCTTTGCCTTTTGGTTAGCTACTAGCTAGGCGAGACTGCGTTGCTATGTGACCTGCAGTCTGCATGCCAGTTCTTAGTCATTGAGAACCAGTGAGGGAAAAAAAGAAATCCTGTATAGAAAAAAAGATAATTGTTTTATAATCGCATCGCAGCCCTCTGAATCAGAATCGTGAGGTGAGGTGCCTAGAGATTCCCACCCCTAGTTACAAACATTAGTAAGATACTGTTCCTGTTCACACAGAGCTCGTCTATTAAAATGTCAGACTAGCACATTAAAACATTGAATGATGCTGTGACCTAAAGATCTGTACTATTAAAATAAATATTTATTTTCTTCTTTAGCTATTGCTGATTACTTACAGTAGCTGTAAATTATGATCCAGTTTTAATATTTTGATTTGCACATTCATTTTTTTATTAGTATATTATAATTGTTACATGGAAGTTTTGTTTAAAGGATTGGTTTGGTGAATTTTTTTTTTTATTTCTAATTTGCAAAAAATGTTGACATTTTCTGTGTAGCGCAGATGTAATGAATCAGCCAAGACATGTTTGATGTCCAAATTTTGCTGTTTTAGTTTAGTGCCTATGCAAGTAATGTTGTCAGCAAACACTGGAATAGTAAATGCATCCTTAAAGCTTCTCTCAATCAGCTCGAACTTCATCTAGGTCTTCATTACAGTCACACGGACTGTCAGTGTAGTTTGGTGTCAGCATGACTCAAAGTAAACTATAAAAATGAACAAAACATCTCTGTGTAGCTGAACGTTGGCAGAGGATTTTTAGTGATTTTTATTTTATTTATTTATTATCAAATTTTGCCTCTATGTAGGCATATGGATGCTAGATTACACTTAAAACTTATGTTGTTTCTGTAAGTAAAAAATGAAGATCTTTGGCGCTGTTTCTCAGAGCTCTTAATCTCTAGTTTTTTTTTTTTTTAAAGAAAAGCTCCCACATGTGCATTTGGGAAAGCCTGTGGTGCTGGTCCATTTACTGATATTTGCAGACATGTAGCCAGTTGCTTCCTTTTCAGTCTGTTTCTCAGGTAATTTTTGACCAGAAAAAAACAGAAGAAAAACAGGCACTTGGCTTTATATTTACTATAAGAATAAATGATATAAGTATAGCGCTTAAAGAAAGATAAAATTCACTTACCCTGTTGATGTTTGAAAAATCTCTTTCGCGCTTTACATTGGAGAAAGGGATGACCAGCACTGCTGTAGCGCTCATCTTTTCCACTGGCCAGCAGTTGCATGATCTAAGCTTGCACAACAGATGTCAAAATAAACAACTGCCAAGACAGATGAGACAGAAATCAATTTATATTAATTTATATTAATTCATATAAATATAAATTATATTCATTATCTCTTCCTCATCTTCATCCCATATTCTCTTAAAATATTTTGAATACTCATATCTACTGAGAAAATGCCTGAAAAATGAGTAGTCTAACCTCAGCTAAAATTAGTCTATGCCTTTCTAACTCCCATAGCCTGCAGAGAAAACAAATTATAATCATCCTTATATTTAGTTGTGTGCACAAATTTACTTATGTAAAAAGACAAAGTGCAAGTTTAGCATGTTTCTTTTTATATTTTGTAACTGATCAATCTTAAATTTTTAAAGTGAAGATGTATAAAACAGGACAACTTTACAGCATGTTGCGCTGTGGCCAAGTTACATGTGCTGAATACACTCTTAAATCTTGTAGCTACCAACGCAGCATAGTTGGCGCTTTCTTTCAGTGATGCTACTATCAGAGACCAATTACACAATAAGGAGAGAAAATAGAGTTGCTTTGCCTTGTTTGTGCTTGTAAAATATCCACTGTGTTTATGTAATACCACAGAACATCTCTCTCTCTCTCTCTCTCTCGCGCTCTCTCTCTCTCTCTCTCTCTCTCTCTCTCTCTCTCTCTCTCTGTTTCTCTGCGTTTCTCTGCAGAGCATGTGTGATTATCAGCAGGCAATAGCATTGTTCTCTCGGATGGACAAAAATATGAATATAAAAAATACTGAAACGGGTTGCCAATAAACTTTGGTGGCCGTTAATAAACCTAGGAGGCCTGCCCAAGTATAGTCTATGTGTGGGTTGACTGGGTTGACCACACAGATGGATCCAAAGCTGACATCTTTGGAAATGGAAAAAAATATCTTTCAGTACGTCACGCTGTGTTGTGTCCTCATGCACATCTTATGACCATATCTGGAGCTTTATATTTAAAAAAAAATACAATGACAGGAAAGAGTAGTGCACCACTAATGAACTGTAGGCCTGACCAAGGTGATGGTGGAGTGTAAAGTCATTTAGAGTGGTTTGATGTGAAGTGCTATATGTTAGAGAAACATACTGACTTAGAATTGTTTAGTGTTGGTGTAATTAGTTTTTTGCAGTATTGTGGTTAAGGTTACAAGGGTCACTTTGTGTGCGGGACCATTGTTCCTCCTCCACCAAACTTTACAGTTTATGCTGTACATCCTCCTGGAACTCATCAAAGATTTGCTGCTCCAGTTTCCAGTGGTGGTGTGCCTTACACCACCCCAGCTGACGCTAGGCATTGCGCAAGGTGATCTTCGACTGCTTGACCATCGAAACCTACCTAATCTATGAAGCTCCTGATGAATAGTTCTTGTTCTAGCCTTACTTCCAGGTGACAGACTGTTTCGTAAAGCCCATCTGGCCAACCACTTTGCCCCTGTGTTGTTGTTGCTCCTAAAAGTTTCTAATTTGCCATGTTGAAAGTCAGTAAGCTCCTCAGTACGAAGATGTGCCATATTGGGAGCTTGGATGGAAGCAGTTGATGGAGCGGATAATCTTGTAAAGTTAGAGGGGAGACAAGTCACTCTTTAGCCTTTCGATCTAGCTCTGGGGTGATTGCTTCCAATATTCACAAACACGTTCGATTTTTATGATTTACAACGTTCTCAAGTCTTGTAATGTGAGATGGTCATGAATTGTAAATGAAGGAGCATTTTTATACATGCCACAGTGCATTGTCAAATGTTACTTGCGTAGTTATATCATGAAGTATATTTGTTTGGAACCATCCGCACTCATTTATTCAGGTTTTTCATTTAATTTGTCACATGTTTGTACTCAGCACGGACAAGAATGCAATAGGAGTTTGATCATCTACATGTGCTTAACTTGTAAGCCATTTAAGTGCAAGTAATGGCATTCAAAGTAATGTTAGAGAGGTGCATCGTTAAGGAACCTGTAACCTCTGAGGTATTTTTGTGAGAGAAAGGGTGACTTTTGTGATTTTCTTTTTGGCCATTCATGACGTATAAAGATGGTGGCAGGCAAGGGAGACAAGACTTTGTTATTCTAATAAGACCATAATAAGACCAAATGCAGTAATTAATCTGCTTTCTTTTATTCTGTGTTCTATCTTGCGTTGTTCCATTCAGTCTCCAAACTGCTCTGAGTATTTAGGCACGAATGTGAGAACTCTGCTAGCCTCTAAATCCTTCTGCCCTGTAAAAACATGTAATGTCTCTATTTGCCTAATCGTTTATTTATTTATACGTTTTAAAATGTCATGAAGTACTGTTGGATGTTATCCATGGCATGTGGCCACGCTGTGCAATGAATTTTAGTTTAACTTTTTAAAGTCAGTATTGGAGGACAAGATAGTAAAATAAAATGGAATTTCTGTGCTTTGTGTAAATCGATCAAATATAGAGAAAGGAACTCTATTTTTTATCTACCTGCCAAAGAAGAGTGTTTGTAAAGGGAAACCATAGTAACCAGAACAGTTGAGTCAAAATATTCAAACAGTCATGTAAGTCTAAAAGTTTGCTTTTGATTATTAGCTTTGTTGTAACGTTATGCATTATAATATTTAAGAAACATTAAATGTCTGAACTCTGTTTTCCAGTGGGGGTAGTGTAAAGCCTGCGTCTTATGTTTTGGTCAGAGGTTGTAAATCTGTTTAGTCCAATGTAGGAAACTGTAGAAAGACTGCATCTACAGGCCACTGGATGCAACAGAGGGACAACAATAAGAAGCATACACTGACGTTTTCTTGTCTCAGACATTTGATATCTGTTTTGCAGAGGGCCTGTATGTGGTATAGCACTTTGTACTGTTTGTTTTTGTCTAGTGTGTTGTAGCGTCTAGATGGCTGTGGTTATCTTTCTATGCATCCTTCAGATTACATTTATTAACCAAAAGATGCTGGATGATCGCTGTTCTCTGGTGGAGCATAGAGTTTAGATTTTACATGGTTTTTAAATATGGGAATATATAATGTTAGAGAGAAGCTATTTTTGAAAAATATAATTTTTAGTTGTCCCTACTGTAATTCAAGGTTTACTTTCAGAATACCTATTTATAATATAAATGTATTTTCATCTATAAGCATTTTTTTTACGGTTATCGTAATGATATTGTTCTCATATTGGATTCCATTAGTCTGTTTTCTGTCATATAAGATTGTTAGCTGTCCTGATAATTATTAAATATTATCATTGAGTTCTCACTTGTCACATTTCTTAAACTCAAGTAATATCTTAATAATATTTTTATTATTTCTTCTGCTTCCCAGCATTTTTAGCAGTTTTGTTGGCTTCTGTCAGTTAGCTCTTATTTTTCATTAGCTCTTTTCATCTAAAGTTCTTTGTGTATGTAACGTTCACACATTTACTCTGCCATCAACAGTAAGTTCCTTTCTGTGGCTCAACTGAAAGATGGTGAAGCCAGACATCCACACTCTGGCCCACCACCTGAAGCAAGAGAGGCTGTATGTGGCTTCAGAGAAGCAGCTTATCCAACGGCTCAATGGTGAGGTGCTGAAGACAGCGGAGAAGTTGTATCGTGCAGCCTGGATAGCCAAGCAGCAGAGGATTAACCTCGACCGCCTCATCCTCACCAGGTAAAACTACCTCAACTGACTGAATACCAAGTAATCTGAACAACTGAAAATGTAAAACTATTTGCAATCATTCTGACAAGTCCTGCCTCACTTTATTGCTGTTATGGGCATCAAGCTTTCAGCTGGCCGCAGGCCATAGTCACCTGGTAGCATGTGTAGTAGGGCTGGGTTTTGCCAGCCGCTTGTTATACAGTATGCATCACAATGTGATGCAGAACAAGCCAGATGTATAACAGACAATTTTGGGCAATAATGTTTTTTTCATTAATGTTTGCTGTAATTAAGTTTCTTTAAAAAGTTTAAAAATGACAGTAATGCAGTAAATAGGGCTGCAATCATCAATTTTTTTAATATTCTTTTACTTTTCTGATTTGTAGTAAAAAAAAAAAAAGTTTCCAACAGAATTCCCAAAAATATTAAGTGAGTGGTTTTCCATTTTTGTGTGTGAATATTTTCCCAATCGTTTTTAGAAATATGACTGCCACACTCATGTTTTCATTTTTCCTTAATACATAGGTCAGAGTCAGGTTTTAAATCAGCAAATTCTTTTGTACAACTTAGAGACAATTTTCTTTTCAAGTGTTTGCGAGTTATATGCTGTTAACTATTTTAATAATACAATTATTTATGGGTTCTAAAATTGAATTCTTTTCTCGTATAAGTATTGTCTTAATTGGAGATAGCTAAAATCTGTTGTTTCAAAGCCAAAACCAAGGCTTGGAAGTTTTAGACAATACTCATATCCATCTTGGTACAGCAGGCAAATATGTGAATATTGTATGAGAGTAAGAAAAGCTCAAGACATGTTTGCTGCACTGTTCAGTCAGCAGCTTTTCAGCAGCTAAATGAAGAAAAGCTAACTGATCTTAACATTGTTCTGTAACATAATTTAATCATTAAATTTTGATATTAAAATGGGTGTTAGCATTCTACAGTAACCTGTACACTCTTAGGCTTACCTTAAACAAAAAAGGTACTTTTACATTCATAGATGTATTTTTAAAACCATTCAGTAAATGCTTGAATCCAGTGCATTTCCTGCATTAAAAATAATATTGAAGATGTTTCTGTCGAGCAAAAAGCTTGACTATTTTTTTCATTTAAACTTGACTTTCCCTTGCATCGGGGATTTCCGGCCCCTTTCGATCGTGAGAGCTACTAATTTTTTTTTCCCTTTGAGTTAATGACAGGCTTAATAACACTTTATATTTTAAGCTACTGAAAACATTCTCCTACCTGTTCTGTTCTTCTGCCTATTAAAGAGGAATTGCACCAAGGCACTTTGGTACTCAGATAATGGACAAACTCCAGGTCTGTGTGAGACTGGCAGTAATCAGACAAGATGAAGAATATTGAAGATGAAGTTCTTCATTTTGTTAAGCATGAGTTGTTTTAGTTGGTTTCAGCATGGCTCCAAAAGTGTTTCGTTGTCATCTTGCAGGTGCTACATTAAACGCAGCTTGCCTATTTTCAGTACTGCGGTCTGTTTTCGAACATGTACAGACTGAGAAATCTGAAAGAAATCAGAATAAGAGTACGCATGTGCTGAGAAATTTGATTACTGAGCTAAAATCCAGCTCTCTTTATCAGATTTTTTAATTGAATATCTAGACCTTACTCTGGTCTAAGAAATTGGACTATACTGTTTACGTCAGCATTTGAGTAATCGATAACTACAGAAATCCAATTATGATTTAATTATTAAGTGTATGTAAACGCACTCAATGTTTCAGACAGCAGGCATTGTATTGTAACCATTTCATGTAATAGCTTAAATTAGAGTGTAAATGGCATATTTAATTTCTTGCCCATAGTGTGGAGGCCTCCCCAGCTGAATGCTGTCAGCATGCCAAGGTTTTAGAGGACACACAATTTGTGGATGGCTATAAGACCCTGGGCTTTCAGGAGAGCATCTATGGAGAGTTCCTTGGGCGGCTGAGGGAGAATCCACGGCTGGTAGCCTCCTGTCTTGTTGCCGGAGAGAGGCTAAACCAGGAACATACACAAGGAGTGATCCATACTGTTTTTACCTCTCTTTATGGCAACTGCATCATGCAAGAGGATGAGAGCTACCTGCTACAGGTAGGTACAGAGTACACACCTTAAATGGAGTGTGTTGTTTTATGCAGTGCACTTTTCCTTTGTCTTATAGAGAATGAGTATTGTTGTTTATTTTGTTGCTAGTCAACTACTCCTGGTTGCTTAAAACTTTAAAGCTTTGGCTGAAAATTGCATTTGCTTTGACTGAAAAAGATTTCTGCCTTTATACCTAGGTCCTACGTTACCTGATTGAATTTGAGCTTAAGGAGAGTGAAAACCCTCGTCGTCTGCTGCGACGGGGCACGTGTGCCTTTAGTATCCTTTTCAAGCTTTTCTCTGAGGGCCTGTACTCTGCCAAACTCTTCCTCACTGCCACTTTACATGAGCCCATTATGCAGCTGCTGGTGGAGGATGAGGACCACCTGGAAACTGACCCAGCAAAGCTGACTGAGCGATTTACTCCAGCCCAACAAGAACGCCTGTTTGGGGAGAAGGGCTCCGATACTTACCGCCAAAAGGTACAGGCGGCTGTGGAAGCCAACGAAGCCAAGCTAGTGGCCCTGGTCAACTCCTTTATTGGCTACCTGAAGCAGAATACCTACTGCTTCCCTCAGAGTTTGCGGTGGATTGTGTCTCAGATGTACAAGACACTAGCACGGGTGGAGAGGCTGGATGTCAGCGAGGTAAAAACCATGTGTACAGACCTGCTGCTGACCTGCTTCATCTGCCCAGCCATTGTGAATCCTGAACAGTATGGAATCATCTCTGATGCTCCCATCAATGAAGTGGCACGCTTTAATCTCATGCAGGTAGAGTTTATCATGCTAGTGTGTCTCACTGAACATCATATGTTACAGTTTTGCTAGGTGTTTAGGCAACATTGTTTTATCTATACATTTATTTGTTTAGCAGATGTTCTTATCCAGAGTAACATTAGTAGCAATAGTGTGGCAGTAGTATCAGAATTCAATATTACAATATTCTCAAAATATCATGGTGTCAGACAAGTTTGAATTTATAAGCTTAATGACCCCATGCTTGCTGAGTATTGCTCCTCTATGCTAAAAAAAAAAAAGTCTTACAAACCTGATTAATCTTGTTTTGACTGGTCTATTTTGCTGCTTTTCCTTCTACTAAAATTACACCAAAAAGAACCTTACCCAATATTGTCAGCATTAACCAGACAGAAACCACATTTCTGAAAAGGAAACTTTTGTGTTTTAAACTAGAGATGGGACTGATCCGATCCTATATTGGTATTGAGTCTGATATTGGCGTCATTCACTCATTAGATATCGGACAGCGAGGGCTGATCCACTTACCGATCCATATTCCAGTCCGCAGCTTGCACTGGACCATAAACCCACTGTAACATAAGACACGTCACCGATCCATTCCACATCATACCATGAACCCGTGCCAGCTTCAGTCTGTACCTGAGTGAGCAAATGACATTAGCTGTTGTTTGACTAAAATGTTGTTTGTTTGGAGATATTTTATTTTAGGGACACCAAAAAGCAAGACCCCTACTTGTAATGTGTGTGAAGCTGGGGTGCCGAGGCGTGAAAGTACGCCTGCGTCAGTTTAATCACCTGTAGAGGTTTAATGTGAAAGAGTACGAGGAGTTCATGATAGCTAACAGACAGGAAGACACCACCAAGCAGCAGAATCTTGCTGATGCTCTCCAGAAATGTGATAAACTTCCAGCAGACAACCCAAAGGCAACTCAACTTCATTATACACAATGACCAACCACTATCTGTATAGACTACTGTCATGCGTCATTCTGTAGTCCTCGCTATGCCCATATTAGGAACTCCAGGTCGAAGCTCCATTTCTCTATGGCCAGAATGAATAGGGTTTTCGAAAAATCACCTCTATCGGACCCTGTGTTATATAAAAATGTTCAGAACCCGATGCGTTTTGTCCTGTGTACATTTTTCTCCCGAATGCCACTGGATCCTCCAACTGCTGCACCACTTAAGGTGGAATAGGAAAAGTCGAACAAAAATCTGGCTAATGTACTGAGAAAATGTCCACAGAAAAATATTACCAGCATTCAGTCTGTACTGAATTAGGCTGAGTGCAGGTATGTTTGTAGATCTTTCCAAATCAAGCTAAAAGGAAAGATGTATCGTGTTTTAGTGAGCATCAGATGAAGAACAGAGAACTGCAGGAAAACTTGCTGATTTTGTTCTGACTTCTTTTCATCTGCTCTCAGCCTGTACATAGAAATGTTTTCTGCCAAAACCTGCTTAAGGAGGCTGCCAGTCTAATGACGTGAATTCAGTGTGCCGTAGCATTAGCTTATATGTAGCAATATTCATATTTCAACTCTTTAACGACTCGTAATTTGAAGGATTCAGTGGTATTCGGGAGAAAAATGTACAAAGAACAAAACATATCGGGTTCTGAACATTTTTATTTAACACAGGGTACGATAGAGGAGATTTTCTTCGAAAACCCAGTTCATTCTGGCCGTAGAGAAATGGAGCTTAGACCCGGAGTTCCTAATATGGGCATAAAAACATGGCTTTGAGGAAGATTAAGTGGAGGAATTTTTGAAAGCCTTGTCAGCTTCAAGAAATATTCAGTGGAGCTATATTTGGAAGGTGGCTATCGGTTGAATGTTTTCTGCTGCCCTCTACAGTGCTGTGAGGGTGGTCACTGTCTTTGTCTCTTGGAGAGGACAACACTTTATTGTGAGTGGTCCTTTTTAGATGAAATAAACACTTAACAGATTCTCAGTAACATATATCAATGATGTAGCAGCAGTGAAGCATCTGAATACATCTAATAGATTATCAAAGTTATCATTATATTTTCAATACCTTATTACATTATTGGGAAATATGACTAGAAGTTGACTATATTTTTCAAATGGATGATGTAATACCTTTGTCTGTTGATGTAACTTTGTGTATTTTCAGTCCACATTCTACAATTTGTGCATTAAACTTGAGAATATTGTCACTGTACCTTCAGCAAGTACCAAAGTTAAGAGTATTCTGTATCTTAAGTACTCTGCACTAATCCTGGGTGATAAATAAAACAATTAGCACCCTATTTCCTAGTCAAAACTCACGATTGTCGATAACATAATAGCTTGTTTTTTTTTTTACTGCAGCAAGTAGCTTGAGCTCAACTCAGCATTCAGCATTCATTTTCGATTCCATTCAAATAAAGAAAACAAAGGGGAAGCTGTGTGGTAAAGACAGCATTACAATAGCAGAGAGAAATAACAAAGGCAGTTTCTTAACAAACCTCTCTCTCTCTCTCTCTCTCTCTCTCTCTCTTCTTTTCTTTTCTTTTCTTTTCTTTTCTTTTCTTTCTTTCTTTCTTTCTTTCTTTCTTTCTTTCTTTCTTTCTTTCTTCTCTCTTCTCTCTCTCTCTCTCTCTCTCTCTCTCTCTCTCTCTCTCTCTCTCTCTCTCTCTCTCTCTCTCTGTGTGTGTGTGTGTGTGTGTGTGTGTGTGTGTGTGTGTGAGAAACTGACTACTGGTGCCTGAGCCTGCACATGTCTTAAACATGAGCCCCAGTTTACCAACAGATTTTTCAAGTGGTTTATGGTAAATTAGTCATCTCTAATTCTCTCTGTTCCTTTACCAAAACAGCAATTTTCGCCCTTTACACATTGCCTTGGGTTACTTGTCCATCATCAGCGATATCCGATTATATTGCACAGGCCTATTCTTTACTTCTTATCTTTTAACGTTACTAACCCTGCATGCACACAGCCAGTGACAAAAACACTGAGGCAGCCAGAAGTCATTACCTTTATATGACAGGCAGTGATGATAGTGTGAATGCTTTCTGAGACAACTGTAGGTTAGTCATGATCAAGTATTAACAAAGTCAGTTTAGTTGTTTAGCCTTTTAAGCATTTCTGGTCAGCTGGACTTTCTGAAAAAGTTAGGACATTTTGTAAAATGCGATGTGTATATATATATATATATATATATATATATATATATATATATATATATATATATATATATATATATATATATATATATATATTATTGTCTTACACCTTTATTTAACTGAAAAGTACAAATAAATGTGATTTTAACGTTTGCAACTTGATTGTATTTTGTTAATATATACATTTTAAGTTTGACGCCTGCAACACACTCAAAAACATTTAAGACAGGGCAAAATAAGAGTGTTAATAGAATATTCACCTTTTTGAAACATTCCACACTAAGCAGGTGAATTAGTAACAGGTAAGGGGATCCTGATTAGATATAAAAGCAGCGTCCACTAAAGTCTTTGCAAGCAAAGATGGGTCGTCGCTCACCACTTTGTGCCAAACTCTGTGAGAGACTTGTCAAACAGTTCAAAGAGAACATTTCTTAGTGCAGGATTGCAAAGAATCTAGGTCTTTTACAGTCTACCATAAACAATAAAATTGTGAAACGATTCAGGGAGTCCATGTAGGTCAAGGCCGGAAACCACTACCGTGTGTGTGTGATCCCACGGCATGGGTGACTTGAATATGTATAAAGGTACCATTGACACAGAGATTTCAGAGAGACATGTGGTGCCATCAAGTCTTTTTCTGGGACGTCCATGGTTATTTCAGCAAGACAATGCCAGGCCTCATTCTGTATGTGCTACAACAATGTGACATCGTAGACACAGTGTGGGTGCTTGAATGGCCTGCCTACAGTCCATATCTGTCTATTGAAAATGTATGGCACATCGTGAAGAGAAGAATCAGACAATGACGATCCTGGACTGTTGAGCAGCTGAAGTCTTGTATTAAGCAAGAATAGGTAAAAATTTCACTTGCAAAACCAACAGTTAGTGTCCTCAGTTCCCAAACGAGAATGAGTTTCAAAAGAATTAACGCATCACAGATTGTTCTTTTTATTGCATTTTACAAAATGTCCCAACTTTTCTGGAAATGGGGTTTGTGAATAAAATCTGTTCCAAGTACGTTCACTCATTCTTATTTGGCTATTTTGTCACCTGCCATTGCAGAATTTAAATGCATAGCCTTGCAAAAGTTGTTATAGCAATTAATAGTGAAATCACTACCACTGGTGTAAAATGTTATGCTTGGAAATGTAAAGTCTTTGGCTCTCTGTAAAATTTAGAATATAAACTGTGTGCAAATGGTGTATTGTAGAAAAAAAAAAATATTTAAACTGATTAGCAGCACGTTGCAGTATTGCAATATATCTGAGCACAGCATTTCTCTCAGGAATAAACCTTTAATAGTGGTATAATACAGAATACTCCAACATTAGTATTTCTGTGGGTCAAAAATAAATAAATCAAGAAGATGGCACAGACAAGACATGGCATAGTTGACTAACACTTTTAATACCAACATATGAACAACATATTGGGCTCTCTCAGCTTCACTTATGGACTGCAAATAAATATAGTGTTACATCATCAAAATAAAAACCTGCATTATTCATTAAAAAAAATCATGAGTATGATGATAACTCAAGAAAACAGTACAAATAATCAACATAAAATGTAATACATTCCAAAAAACATAGGAAGGAGTTACATTATTGGTAAAAAAAAAGGTGTTAGATTAACAGTCAAGACCCTGCAGTACATTTTTATGCAAGTTAGTACATTACATTTTATTACGTTTTTGAAACTAAAAACATTTTGAAATTAAGTGCACCGATTTATTGCAACTCTGGGTGTTGTTGAATTATTGCAATAATGTGTTCTACGTAAGTTTCATTATTTTCATTTTGCAATTTGCACATTAGTGAATGGTAATTTTTGTGCTGTTGAATATGTATAAAAGTATCTAGAATTCCCACTAAACTGAAGTGTACACATATTTGCGGTTCAAGCACGCAGTGCGTAGAATCCTATTGGAATTGTCAAGATTTTTATTATTTTTCTGTCCTAAAGTGATCTGGCCAGACCAAACCATAGGTCTTAGGGACATGGAACTTGGTCAGTAGGTAGTACTCCCTCTCGTTACTCAGGTGCAGGACATGAGCCCCATCAGCCTAAAGGGGATGCTATTGCACAGCACAACATGAACAGTTTTAGACACAAAATGCTTTTTTTCCTGATTCATTGGGTCAAGACAAACTAATTTGTAATTTTGAACTTTTTGCTTCACCTACTTAGATTTTTAACAAAATTGCCTTATGTGCAAAACCTGCATTTGTGAACTGGTCCTAGGATTTTTGCCCCATCCTCATGTAATTGGTGTCAAAAATTCAGAAAAGCCTGAAGCTCAATAATTATTTTAAAAAGTTGCCTTTTTAAACAATATGGCTGCCAAATGCTAATTAATCTCTCTAAAATAATTCATAAAAATGTAAAAGTTCTATAACTCAAGACTCCTTCGTCAAGAAACTTAACAGCTTTTTTTAGGAGTAGATTCTGAGGTAGCCTATCAATTCTGATGCGCCTACATCATTAGGGGGCACTGTAACTGTTAAATAACTGTTTCTCAGCATCCATACATCCAATCGTGCAACATCCAAGCTGAAAGTTTGCAAGGAACATCTATTACACAGACTATAAGTGAATACGTAAGGACAGTGTATAAAAATTTATGGTCGTCATCAGTCAGTCAGCTTTCAGCTGGCATTTGACAGGCTTATCTTTAACCAATTATAATGAAACTTGAATGGTGTGTCTTTTTAGGCACTTTGTAACAGTGAATTTTCAAAGGATTTGGTGTGTGCCAAACAAATTAGCCATTAGAAGTGTATTAAAAGAAAAACACAGTTCATTTAATTGCTTTTGCAGTATCTCTTCTTTTGAGTGTCCAGTAATTCCCATTCTCTCCCAAAATTTGTGTACACCACCTCCGGAGTGGTGTACACAAGTGCGCAGTACACACTTTCTGTAAAGATTCACCTTCACCCTCAATGCGTATTTCCCAGTATCTGTAAATGCTGCACATCCAGTCAAAGACAGAGACTGAAATTATACATTTTATTTATAATTTATAGCTTCTAATGTGAATGCAATACCCAACTGTGTCACACATTTTATGTCTATATCAGCCATCCTCATGTATTTTTAAGAAGTTGTGAATGTATCAAATGTCCTTTGGTATATTCATCTGTCATGTTATCTGAAAATATTTCAGGTTGGACAGTTATTGCAGCAGTTAGCCATGGCTGACACAGATGATGGAGATCCTCGACGCAAAAGCGGTTTATCAAAATTTGATAAGGTAAGAATGATTTCCAGTACCTTTCTATTATTGACTTTTAAGCCATATAATCTGTTTCTTTTTTCTAGATAAGGAAACATGTGATTTTATGGTTTTCATTAATCTGTTACATGTCCTGTGTTGGGTGCAACAGTACTCATGTTTTATTGGCTGTTCTGTTAACTTCTTCAGAGTTGTGTTGCTGCCTTTTTGGATGTTGTGATTGGTGGAAGAGCTGTGGAGACCCCTCCCATGTCATCAATGAACCTTTTAGAAGGCCTCACACGAACTGTGATCTATATCACACATAATCAGCTCCTGGCATTGGTAAGTTACAAACTGGGAATTAAATACAGAAGGGTGTAAACTTTATACCATCAACAGATCTACATCTTGTTGTTTATATGGCTGTGATCGGTCTCTCACTGGCAGTATCATAGCAATAACAAGCAATAAATTTGATTAGACAACACAAATTTAAATGTCTTTTTAAAGTTTAAAGCTAAAGTTTCACAATACCCAAAATGTATAAAAATAAAGCCTTCAAAGCTTTTAAATCACTTGTCATATTACTAATTACTGCTTTTTCAGTATTTCCATAACTATTCATTGACAGTTTTTGGCAACAACAAAAAGTTATTAAACAATTAATAACATATTGTAATTATTTATTTATAGTAATTTCTTTATAAGTTATCTAGCTGCAAGTTGATCACCATGCTTCGAGTAAATTCATTCTGTTTTACATATACATCATTCTTGACACATCTAATATTCCTAATAAATTCATGCTAATTATTTGACATAATGTGAAGTTTTAAAGTAGTAGCATCATGATAGAACAGTTTCATGTATTTATCTGCAACTTTTAGTTCATTTGAATGATTCTGCCATTTTGATTGCATGTGTACATACTCCCACATAAAGGCTTGTAACGATTTGTGAGCTGTGGCCATGGCAAAATGTACAGAAGAGGTTATTTGTCCAGGACCTTTAAGGATGCAGTCCAGCACAGTTTGGTTACTTTCCTGCTCTAACCAGCTAAACCTGGCAAATAACTGACCTGAATAATGTGTTTTGAGCAGGGAAATCACCAAACTGTGCTTGGAGCCAGCCCACCAGCATGGAAATTGAGGAATGAACTCCTGTATGCACAGTAATGAGACATATTCAGTATGTGCCATGTTCAGGTGGACTTTGTGCGGAGTGTGACTGCAGGGGACCAGCTCAGAGAGGAAGACCACCTAGCGCTGGAGACCCTGCTAGCTAGTGTACCACAGTCTCGCACGATCAAGAGCAACAGCTTGGAGCTCACACCTTCCAGTACGCCCCAGCTTTCCCCAGCTACTACACCTGCCAACAAGAAGAACAGGCTACCCATAGGTACTTGCATAATAGTTAGTTTACAGTTTAGTAGTTACTGCAGCTCTGCACTTAGTACTAATCAGTAGTAAATATAAATCAAATGATAAAATCTGCAAACCTGTATTCCTTATTTCATAAGTTGACTGTTCATTATAACACTGTTACTCTACTCTCACAAGTTGTTTGTAAAATATGTAGCCTTTCTTTGTAATAACTGATATTTAAGCAATATTGACATTTATACAATATTTAAATAGCATTTTACTTAAACTCTCATGTACCGAAATTTAAATGTACAGCATGCAAAGAACTGCTGCTTTCAAAGTTGCACCCTTATAAATGATAACGTATTTTAAATTGGTTATTTACTAAGAAAATATATGCGTTATCATGTCACAGGCAGATGGAATTCCAAGGTTTTGTTGGCAAAAGATAAAAGGCATGTACTTTGTGTTAGGGATTTTTTAAGGTTTTACCCATCTGTCTGTGTAAATAGCACAATGAAGCTGTAGAACGGACGGTATCTGTGTCTCTCTGTTGTTATTGTGTATGATTAGCCATAAAATTGTGAGTTAACAGTTTTTGCTCTGTTAACTAAGTCACCTCTTTTTAATATGCCCTCATTTTTTTTTCCTCTCCTTTATCTATCAATTCTTATGACCTTTCCCATTTCCTCTTCTCTATCATGTTCTCTCTTCGCCTCTTTGCTGCCAATGACCATCAGGACAACAGTTAGCTGCCATAACGTGTTGGGATTCCTCTGCCACAGCCCTGTCAGCTCATATTCCTTTAGTAACCCCATTTGGTGGGTAGCTCTGTTGCACAGATGTAACTTATTTTTGTCTGGCGGCACAGGTGCTGCAGTGATAGCCAATGAAATTAACTCCTCTAATTTCAAGTGTGTGCAGGACGTGCAGCTCTGTGACATTTTTCTAATGGCAGGGTATCGCTGCTTTCATAGAAAGTAGAAGAATTCCGTTACATCTCTGCATAGTGAAAAAAGATCATCTTATAGATTTCATGTCAGTATTTTAGTAGTAAATATAAAGCTAATGTAACTTGCTGCAGATGTGTTTTCTGTCTGCTCATGTGCATGTGACTTACTCAAGATCAGAGCATTTATTTCTTGACTCTGTAATGGCAGTAAATTTGAGATTGTAAAGCAGTTATCCTCTGTAGCACATTGTCTCTAGTGACTTAGTGCTTTTACAAAATGGTGAAACGAGTGTGATAAAATACACCAATGTTCCGTAAATATTTATTTATATATATATATATATATATATATATATATATATATATATAGTATATATTTATTTGTAATAATTGCTAATAATGAAACTTATAAAAAATAGAAAATGCAGTGGAAAAATATTTACAACAAGACAAATAAAACAAAAAAGAATAAACTGAAAAAGCTGAAATTGATCAGAATCAGAATTACTTTATTTTGCCAAGTATGTTACATATACAAGGAATTTGTCTTGGTGAGAGCATGCATGCATGACCTGTAACTTACTAAACAGACCAGACAAGTACACAGACTATTTACTAAATATACTAAATATTTAAAAATATATGCATAAGATATATTATAAGGTTTATATAAGAAAACAGAATATTATTGAGGGAAAATAAAAAAAAAATAATTAGACACACCATACATGACATTAACAAAACAAAAAAATAGTGGGAACAGCACACTGAGGCAACTATCCATGGCACCATCTTGGGTCCATACGTTAGATTTTAGTTTTGTTAAATATCCTCTTAATTGTAATAATAATATGATAATCTATGTCTAATGATACATCAGCTGTGTCTGAGTCATGTTTAATAGTCACAGCTTGGTTGTCTGTCCTTATTTGTACTAACTCAGTTTAGCATCAGAATGGGCAAAACCAGTGACCTTAGTGCTTTTGAACATAACAATATATCTAATGCTAGGCTTGCTAGTTCTGTCATTCGGAAGGCTGCCATACTGGGATTTTCACACATATCCAGTTGAAGTAGGCAATCAAATTGTCAAATTGTGATTTATTTATTTATTTAGTTATGTATTTATTTTTTAAGTTGACCTAGAGCAAAACAAATACAATTTCTAGAGCAAAACTAATTTATTTAATTTCTTTTGTGTTAATTATATCTAGAGGGGTGTCCCACTGTTTGTGATGGAGGAGTGGATGTACCTAGTAGTATGCTTTTTAGCCTGTTGTTTTACATTCCTTCTATTACATTTTTAATGTGATGTCTGGCAAAAGAGCCTAACAAAAGTGCTGCTGCCATATAGAGCTAGGTAGGGATGTTAGGACTTAAAACTCAAAATGCTGACAAAATAGCCTGACAAAAATCTGCAGAACCCAACCCAAGGAATCATATTTTTTTTATTTGTAACCATCCTGAGCCTGGCAAAATTCTGCACAAACTCACATTCCAAATCCACATGCCTGTTATCTGATCATCAATAAACAAATTTTAAAAAGCTGTTGCCTAATTATCAGTTATCCTAAATTAAATGTAAATTGCACTTCAACAAATGTATTTATTAATGCCTTCAAACCACATCCCAAATGTTTGAAGTCTCAAAGTCTCAATATCTGTTACATAGTGCATATTTCTTGTGACACTCAGTAGACCTTGATGGGAACAACACAAGTGGTATTCTCCCTTTCTACTTTTTTTGAAGAGACAGAGACCAGTGAGCCAACCAGTGATGCAAAAATAGATGTAGCATTTTTCCTTGTACTTGTTTTAGTAAGTACTCTAGCAGCCACATTTTATACAATCTATAACTTGTATCAACAGTCTTTTTAGGTCATCCAGGAAATAGGGTGTTACAGTAAATTAGCCGATAGCATGAATCACCTTTGCATAGAGCACTGTAACCAAGTATCTTTTTCAATCTATGTTCCTGAGGTGAAAGAAATATGTCGGAACATTATTTATGTTTGATTTAAATGATAACTCTGGGTCAGTTATAACATTTTAAGTTTTAAACTACATGGTTAGGTTAGCGTTGCCGTTTGAGAAGCTACAATTTAAATTACTCAAGGGCGGTTTTCTTTTTTCCTTTCTCAGTAATTAATTTTAGTATTTCACTATGGCTATGCCACTCTGTATAGTCCTCAGAAGCTCTCATTTCAATGCACCAGCCCCTTCTGTTTTGGTGGGACTGGCTTGGCAAGACAGGAGGGAACGGTTACATTGTATCCAGACAGAATCATCTTGCTAGCTAGCCTGTGACTAACTGTCTGGTATATGGTTCTTCAGTAACTAACCAGCTGCTGTGCAAAAGTTTGGCAGTGGTGAATGCAAATCCGTCTATACCACTGAGACAGCAGTGATCCTGATGGGACCACACCAGCTCTCAGTGTCAGTGTGTATGGACAGAAGAGAAGTTGGCAATTCCATAATCTAGTTTACTTTTGGAGACACCCATTTTTTAGTTGTGGCCTGAAACTAAATGAACAACAACAATTTAGAATGCCAGGGCCTCATCTGCTTGGTTTCCTTGTGATGACAAATGGCAAGTGTTTAAGGGGTTGTTTGTAAAACCACATGCAGTGCCAGTGTCCTGTTTTAGGTGATTGTCATTCATATGTGTCAATGGTGTTCACAGACACTTGGATCTCCTCACATATGTCTAGTTTTCTCTTGAGGTTTTGTTGAGGTCTGTGTTTATGAAATGAGTTCTTCTGAGGACTATGTGAAGAGGTGTACCCTTAGCAGGATACCTCATTCACACTGTCAGAGAAACAGGTTACATTTGCAACCTAATATTATGAAGCTGTATGTTTATATCTGACAACCTGCAAATGTCTACACATGCATAAATATAATTGTATGACTTACGAGAAAGGTGTGTAAGCCTGTGTTGTGTTGTATGCTGTTATTAAGAGCTCACAATAGTAGCGTTCACTTAAAAACATTTTAAGATAAAGTCATCTATCTTAAAATAAAATGCTTGTATATATTTTTTCAAATGAGTGTGCCAGACTGCAGTATGCTTGTGTTTGCTTAGCCCAAGCACCTTAGTTATGTGACTGTAATCTTCCAAACAAGCTTGCCTCAGCTGTGTGTATTTTGTGAGCTGCCACTGCACTAAATTAAGTGTAGTTCAGTGTATATTAATGTACATTAACTTCTCTCAACTTTAGTCATCACTTTATTTTTAAACTTAATTACTTTTTATTTTAGACTAAATGTGCATCCGTGTGCTTCTTTCCCCAGCATCCTCACGTAGCCGATCCCGCTCCAACATTGCTCAAGACAGTGAGCCTGATGCTAGCTCCCAAGACTCTCAACAGGAGGTCACGCCTGAAGAGGTGCTCGTCATCTCGTTAGGAACTTCCCCTCAAACTGTGCCTGGAATGATGTCGGAGAACGAGGTAACAAATTAATTCCATGAAAGTTACAGTATTATGCTTTGGCTTTCCCTGTAGTTTTGCCATTTTCTGGTGGCAGGTGTCCAGAATAGTTTGGTAGTTTGCCTGCTCAGACACACCCACTAAACTTGTCAATTAAGAGATGAGTGTAATCAGGAGTGTTAGAGCAGATAAATCACCAAACTGTGCTGGACACTGGCCTTCCAGTGGTTGTGGATCCCTGCTCTAGATCCTTTCTAGACACCTGCCTCTAAATTGGCAATATACTGGCATTATACTTTTAGACTGCACTTGCACCTTAATGAAAAGACAGCCTTTAATGTCACACTCAGTATAGGTTTTGCACGTATAAGCACATAATTGTGTGTTTGTGGCATGTTTATGTTGATATTTCAGTTTCAGGAGATTGCAAATAGACGTTCAAGCGCTGACTCTCTCTAACACATCTAGGGGTGCCAATAACTGACACACTTTGCTAAGAATGTTTCTTTTTTTACTTTTCTAAAAGGTTAAATAACTTTAAATAACCCTTTTTTAGTATAAGATTTTTGCTATTTTTTTTTAAGATCAGTGGTTGCAATATTACAAGACCTGGTAGACCACGAAGACTGTGCTCACATTAAAGATCTCACTTTTTAATTCTGATTTTTTGCTCAGGTCCAATCTTTCTAACTTGATGGTTCACATTCCAGTAGTTAAGTGACTCAAGTCTGTCATGAATGTGAACAAATCTACGTCCTGAAACAACTTGCATTGTGCACATCCTAATCAGAGAGGTCATGTGAATTACCATGTACTTAATAAACAACAAACTAACTACCAGAACAAGTCTTTGTCTCTAACATAATTTGCTGTTAACATCTCTCAGATGTTCATTATTAGGACGAGATGAAGATGGACAAGGGTCAGTTGTGTTGCTTTTGCAGCATCTACTGGCACTAACTTCAGGTTTGGTCCTGTTGCCTCATTAACACTGAATAATGGCATATGTGCAGTGAAAAAAATACATGGGCTGTGTTCGAAATAACCTACTACATACTGTTTGCATACTTATTCTGCCCATAGTAGTAAGTAGTATCCATAGGTGACCAACATGAGTTTTTTTCGGTAACACCAAAGTTACCCGGATGACATACTGTTCTGGCACATTGTTCCAGTACACAGCCAGCGCTATTTCCATGATATACTGTATCCCAAAATGCAACATAGCGCTTTTAGGACGACGTAACCACTGACGCAACCACCTGGATATTAAAATCGTTGGGTTCAGATTTCCCGTACATTAATAACAGCAAAATAAAAGAAATTTGTCCAAATGCTGCTGCGCTGAAGCCCCTCTGTTGTTCTTGAGGTGGATTTGCTTATTTGATCTATTTCATAAACTACCTAGAGTTGAGCAATCCACTCAGAATCAGCTTTTCAGACTCGTGTGGTCACACTGTTTATTATTCAAACTAACTCAGGTTACCAACTGCGAGTGTAATAAAAATAAAATGACTCGCAAACTGATGAGAAACCACACAGACCAGGCAAAAGCTGACATTTTTAAAGTTTTTGTGGCTTTGGAGTAGAAAACAACACCCTCCCCTCTTTCACTCTGTTGTGTCTTATAATTTGGGGTGTCTTATAATAGTCATGTTCATAGTCAGGCTCATGTCTTGACCAAAATATAAACGTACATGCTGAAAAGAGGCTAGCAATGGTTGCTAAGCAGTGAACGTAGGGCTGAGAAAAATGGGGCAGGTCTTGAGATGGTCTAATTGGCTTGGTCCCTGATGGCGTCACATAATGAATACCGTACAGTATACTACTGATGAAGAGTAGCATGCACTATACAGTATATACTGATGCAGTATACAGTACACAGTATGCTATTTCAAACAGCCATGAATTCTGATCTGACCATTCTGAGGTCACATGGCGTGGCTATGAAAGTGGCTTGGGTCTGATATGAAATAATCAGATGTGCATGACCGCAGAGCTCTGAAAAAATCTGATCTGTGTCACAGTTGTGCCACTTCAGCGTGGTCTAAACTGTCAGCATCTCAAAGCTAATAAAGACAAAGCAAATAAAGACACTGCTGTAGTTTTTTTATAATAATGGACTGGCAGCTCAAGAGCCCATCCCTCAATATCACTGTGTGGGTGTTTGGGAGTACATGGATCATTGTTGAGGCTTCTGAGTAATTTGTGCACTACAGTATTTTTTTCTTTACGTCTCTCCAGACGTAATGTTTGTAAATCACCAGTAATCATCTTAAGAGTTGGTATCAGGTGTCAGTTATATTGTCAGTACTTCTGTTCAGCAGATTAAGTAATGATCAATTTAGAGTTAATTCAATCAGGTCTGCTTTAGACAGAAAAGCTTAAGAGTGGTGGCAGATTGATCATTTTTGCAGTTGAATGTTGAGCATATAGTAAATAAAGAATATGCCATCTCTCATCTAGGTGCTAAACTTGCAGCTGTCAGATGGAGGTCAAGGAGACGCTCCAGCTGATGAGACAAAACTGCATGGAAAACCTGACAAAACCCTGCGCTTTTCTCTCTGCAGTGACAATCTGGAGGGTATCTCTGAGGGTGTGTTTTCCCAAAATTACCAGCAGAGGACTCCCTCTCACTTTTAATAGTTACCTGCAAATAAAACCATAAAAGGCATTTACATAATATTAAAGAAGTAATTACATATTACATTGTGTTATGTTATCCTATATTCATGATAGCCTGTTGTATTACATTGTAATAAAGTTAAAAGTTAAAATTGAGAGCTTACCTCCACTCCCAATTGGTGCTATTATGATTTTGTAAGGACAATAGTTTGTGCAGAGCTCCAGCAGCAGAATAAAACTGGTAGGAGAAATTCTCATTTCTGTGTAGGTCCATCTAATCGTTCCAACTCCGTCTCATCTCTGGACCTGGAAGGGGAATCTGTGTCAGAACTAGGCCCAGGACCATCAAGCAGCAATGGTGTTGAGGCTCTGCAGCTACTAGAACATGAGCAAGGTACTGTGTGCACTCATTCGTGTGTGCTTAGTTAATTGTATATTGTGCACTTTTAGCATTTTTTTTTTTATTTTAATGATTGTTCATTTCATTAAAAGATACAATTAATAACAAACATTTAAAACTGTGAACCATTATTAATAAAATTTTATGCATGACAAGTCATGGAATACAACATCTTATTGTTGAGTAGTATTACACATCAAAAAATGAGTACAGTACATCTTTTTCCACGTTAATTAAACAATCTACACTGCCAAAGCTCACCTCTGATAATCTCCATTTGTGGTAATGATTCTGTCACCATGGCAACATTTGTGTGGCTGCATGCCCCCGATGGTTACAGGCTGCTATGAGTCACAGAACAATGACAACAAATGTAGCTTTACAAGGTGAAATGTAAATTCTTTAAACTGTTACTTACATTACAGCTTCAAATATGATGTAGGCCTGCTGCGTAAGAAAATGTAAGTGTAAGACATCATGCTAAATTGTAGCCATGCTTAAAATGTAAAAAAACAAGTTTAACAACATTTATAGTGATACATAGTGAAACATTATTATTTAAACTCTAGTAATAAATACCATAAAAATTTGTTAATGGGCGTATTGGGACCAGCAGTGTCAAGCTCACAAAAATACACACAAATGAATCAATAAATTCAAAAATGTAATTCTATATAGCAAACAAAATCATGGTAATTTGCATTGATTTCAATAATTAACCATTTTTTGTAAAGTAGCTTATGCTTATCTTTGTGGTTAAACCAAGATAGTGTACCTTTTACACTGTGCATCTCACCATCTAAATCATTTCTGCTTTTTAAAAAAAACATAGAAATAACCCTTTGTATATGATAATGCAATAAAGTTATACTTATAACAGTTATATTAGTTGATTTGCTCTATTATTGCATGTTTGTCATTGTGAATTTTAGATCTTAGAAGCAGAATTTGATATTAGACAATGGGAACCTTATCCAACACATTTTTTTTACAGTATTATAAACAAAACCAGATCTGTGACATCCAGAAAAGAACGCGAAATATGAGGTATAAAACAATGAAACGTGTTTTAAAGTTGTTCCTGATAGGCCACTGTGTGCTGTGTGGCCAGTGAGGTAATAATATAACTTTGGGCCCATGAGTCTACTCAAAAGTACTGGCTGTGTAGTTGGCTGTGGCTCAGGTTCTGTGTTTTGTGTGCCTACTAGCTTCTCATGTTAACCATCGTCATTTATGTCATCTTTTAGCCACCACGCAGGATAATCTGGATGATAAACTCCGCAAGTTTGAGATTCGGGACATGATGGGCCTGACAGATGATCGAGATATTTCAGAGACAGTCAGTGAAACCTGGAGCACTGATGTCCTTGGCAGTGATTTTGATCCCAATATGGATGAGGACAGACTCCAGGAAATAGCTGGTAAGATGCAGTTTAACCTCCTCAAGACAAAAAGCCTTTATTTCTTTAAGAACATAAAAGGGGTTGAGATTTGCCATGTTTTCTAATTATTTAATAGCTATCTTATGTTTTTTTTATTTTTTTATTTTTTATTTTTTTTTTAAAACACTTACATCTGAGTACTGAAGCCTTATCATTATATACAATTCTGTAGAGAATATAATCAGTGAAGTATTCCTTGGCAACTGGCTGATGTAATCAGACATTCAGTCAGCTTTTATTTAAACTTGGATTGCATTTAAAGTGACCCTCATTTACAATGTAAAAAACAATCAACTAAAACAATTGCAGGCTGAGTTGAGTTGGTTAGAGATTAAAAGTTTAAAATGGTCAAGTGATACCACCAGTTTTAGAGATTCCTTTAATGAATTCCAGCTCGCTGGTGCACTGTAGCTAAAAGAAGGTTATCCCAGTTCAGAAAAGTTTTATACTTTTTTTAAGTGTAGCATTGTAGGGGTCTTCCGGTGATAGATCTCAGAGCCAAGTGAAAAAGTAAGTCTAAGGGCTTGAGGTTATTGGCAGCCATGTGTCTTTATATTACATTACCATAATCAATTATTGGTAATAGCATTATTTCTACTATGCATTAGGAAAAACATTTTTGTTTCGATACAGCAAACCGAGCTTCTGTCTTAATTTCCGTACTAGCTTACTGATATGTTTATATTTAATTTTTTCATCCAGCCTAATGCAGAGGTGCTTGTACTCACTGACCCTTTCATTTCTGGATTCAACAAGTCTATGCTTATAGAGATTGTAAAGCATCAAAAGAGCATTTTTTTCCAGTGCTGCCTGTACAGAATCAGCAGAGTAGTATAAAATAGTGTCTTCTGCATAAAGATGTACTTTACAGTCTGAGATGGAGTTGAAAATATCATTAATGTGAATATAGAATGGACCTAGAATTGAGCCTTGTGGAACACCTTTAATTACCAGAACAAGGCCACACAGTGGTGTCACAGGGCCACACAGTGGTGCCTGCCAGAAAGGTAATTCTGGTTCCAGCTTGTAGCTTTGGCATCAAAGCCAATGTAAGCTTTTTAAAAGTAGGGAATGATCAACTGTGTCTAAAGCTTTGAAATGATAAATGAAAAGAGCAGCACAGTGCTTCTTTCTATCTATAGCAGTAAAACGGTCATTTAAAACGAGTCTGACAAGAAATGGTGATGTGTTTTCCCTAAAAATTAGGTTGATAGCTGCACATGTTCACATAAAGGAATGACTTGAGTTGATCATTCACTAGGGCTTCCAAGATTTTGGCTAAGCATGACAATTTAGATATAGGTCTGTAATTATTGGGATCTGATGCTTCCCGTTCCTTGTGTAGCAGAATGACGCAAGCGGTTTTCTAGATACTGGGAATTCAACAGGTTAAAATGGGAGTATTAAAAATGCATAATGTGCTCTAAAGTTACTGGTGCCGCCATATGTAAAAAATGGGTCTGATTTTTCCTCTCCAGTGGTTTTTCAAGGGTTAATAGCAGTAAGTGCTTTAGCTACTGCATGTGGAGGGAAGGGGTTAAGTGTGAGAGGTTAAATCAGGTGCATTTAAAGGTAGTAAGTTATTACTAACATTGAAAAGATTTTCAGCAGTAGAGAAATGTGCATTGAAAGTTTGGCAGAGCTTTCAGAAATTAAATAGTCATTAAGTAAATCATGGGTCAGAATGGGAAGTTATTTGTTTTTAAGAGAATTTTCTGCCTTCCAGAAATTGCAAGGGTTTGAAGAACAGTCATTAGGCAAAGGTAATATTCTGATTTGGCTTTTCAAATAGTGGTACATTTATTTCTTAACTGCCTAAATGTAAGCCAATGGTCTCGATCCCTGGTTTGTCTGGCAAGGGTCCAAGCTTTGTTTCATGTTTTAGGAAGAGTAGAAATGTCAGGACCGAACTGAATTTTTTAAAAAGTGCATGCTTAAGGCCATGTTGATGCCATCTAAAATTTTATAAATTGAGTGAATTTGGCTTTGTGCTGAGTCAGAAAAAGCTTGTTCATTAAAATGTTTAACATTTCTTTTAACCACTATCTGTGAAACTGTTTTTTTTTTCATGCTAGTATTTATAATGCATCTGATAGGGCTGTGGTTACTAAAACCAAGACTGAAAATAGGCAGTAAGACTAAATTGTCCTGTTTTCTCAGGGGAGGGATTGGACCTATTATAAAAACAGATTTGCATCAGTGTTTTATGGATGTCCGCAAACATGTGAAGTCTCTTTTCAGTCATCATGAACTCTGATCTCTAGTGTTGTTACAACCAACGTATAAAACAGTATTATGGACAGAACAGTACTTATCTAAAAGGCTGGGGAGATGCTGCGTGATATCACGGACTTTAGCGCCTGAGAAAGAGTATGTGATGACTGAGCGGTGTTTGTTCCGGATAATAGTCACCTGCTATCAGGATGGTTGGAGGGGAGCAGCCACTCAGACGACTGACAGAATCCAGCGGCATGGTGAGGTGAGCCGACCATAAGGTAGTGTACGACGGTGGAGTGGCGGGCCTGCTGGCCTACATCCCGCAGCGGTAAACAGCAAGATGACTGTACCATCATCCTCAGAGGAGGGGAGCAGCTGCCTGGTTGCCCAGCTGAATCCAGTAGACAGTCATGGCAGGGCGACCATGTGACGAAATCTGGTGGAGTGGTGCGACGCTCCTGCTGACCGGTGGATTCACGTGGAAAGAGGGGTAGTGATGGGCCCGCTTCACGATGGTTAACCATGTGGGAGTCGGTGTGAAGTGAATGGCCGGAGAAGCCACTTGGCTGCATTGTGCTGTGTAGCCACCAGGTGAACAGGAGAGAAAGGCTCCCAGCTCATTTTTCAGCTCTTTCAGGATGAAGAACCTGTTGCTCAGTCTGATGTTTAGTTGAATTGGCTGACAAGCAGAACACCTACCACAATGCATGTTCCCACTGCCAGCAGACCACGGCTCCAATTGGCAGAGCAGCTTACATGGTTTCAGTTTTGCTCCGAGCTGAGACCATGGATCTTCTGCCTGGCTTGGGGAAGTGACCAGACAGGGGGGTACTAGCATTTGTCTTGTTGAAGGTAGCGTAGGGTGCTGCAAAAGAGTCCAAAAAGATCTCCATCCTCATTAATTTGGTAAAGCAAGGAGATTTTTCCTTCCAGTCAAATCCTTTGACTCAAACAAGCACAGCCATCAAAAGTAGTTGAAGAGTTAAGTGGAGGCATGGTGACAGAAAGCTTTCAAAACAGTGCCAAGGAAGCCAAGTTCTGTTTATTAGGCTAAACCGTAGCTCAGTTTAGGACACAATAAAAATGAAAAGCAAAGCTAACACAAGAATATAAATAAATAGAAATTAATAGAAATAAAAATAGTTAAATAGTTAAAGTTAAATGTGTTAAATTATGAAAATATGACATGCTTTTCCAAAGGCATTCCAAATTGACTTGCTATAATGACAGAGAATACATTATTTTCTTAATGTGTGATGCACGTGGTAGCTATAATATGTATGTGTATGTATATATATATGTGTGTGTGTGTGTGTTATTTATTTTTATTTATTTAATTAATTAATTAATTATTTTTTTACTAGAAAATATTGTGCTAATTATTAGTACGTTAGCCAGGCCTAGTGTGGAGAAGATTCAAATAAATGATTAATTATTATTTCTTCTCGTCATCCTATAATAAATTATAATGATTACTTTTATAGCAGGTGTTATTTACAACCTTACTTGGACTTCTGAATATGTGTTAGCATGGTCTTCATTTGTTCAGAATTTGATCTTTTCAGTTTCTTTTTATGATAGGCTATAATTTATTTCAGCAAAAGTAGAAGCTACTGTCAATCTGTTCACTTCCCCACCTCTTCCTTATTATTCCTGAATGACAGTCATCAGTCTAAACTGGATCTTGGGTTGCCTGAATATACTGACCTGATTATATGTGACCATTTTATTACAAAATTTCAGGTGGCAATATTTCTGTAACTATTTAAGATATAGGCAAATAACTTTTCTCATCATATCCTGAGAAAAATAAAGTAAATGTACTGTGCAGTGGCATAGTTGGTGCATATGCACATTCAAAAACTGAAAACAGCAAAACCCATCAGAAATCTGTGGACACTACTGTGTCAGTTGAGGAGCTCTGAGACTGTCTGGACCTGAACAGACTTGGGTGTATTTAACAGTGGATGACTAGGGTTTTCCTGATCTTTTTTTTTTGCCCATTAATTTTCCTAGTCCGTTAATATAGAGTATTTGGCAGTACTGAGTACTGTTCCGATGTTTGTGTTTTCGTAGCTAGTACATTCCAGAAGCGGTGTGGCACAGCCGGTAAAGTGGAATGTTTGTGTCATGCTTTTGTTTTTACTCTAGTGGTGAGTGAAAAAAATTGTGGGCATGTAATTTGTGCCATTCACAGCAAAAAAACGAAACATAGACTCAAAATCATTATAGTTATATAAGGCTGCATCCAAAGTGGCATAATTAAGTATTACGTACTAAACTCGATCCAGGACGTACTACTTGACTGTTAAACTATGTACTTTCAGTATGCGAGTGCACAGTATCCACACATCCATGGACATGTAACACCTGCCATCTTACCAATGACTGAACATTCTTTTACACTGTAAAGTCACTAGCGCCAAAGTTTAAAGAGCTTTACTCATCAAAACGAATTTGACTAAACGCCGTTGTGGTTAAAGCCCTTTATCAGGGGCTTTTGCTTCATTTGACAGGCCTGTCAGGTTTTAATAATAATTCGGTAAGAATAAATAAAAAGAAGCAACAAGATTTCAACAGTAACAATGAAAATCTCCTTAAAGAGGTTAGGTGAGAATGTAGAGCTGCAGCTGTCTGCACCACAGCACAGAGTGCCTCTCTTAACATAAGTTCAAGTATGAGAGAGTAGGAATAAAAGTATATCTATTTACATATTTACATAGCACATAAGACCGATTTGTTGTATTTACATGAGAGCAGGC